AGAAAGAGGAAAGGGCATGAGAATAAGCCATAAGAAACTCCAGCATGTAATGGCCAATAGAGGAAGATGAGCCAGCAGAGGAGTCTAGGAACCCAGCAAACAATAACAAGAAGTGTAAAAGATGAGATGAGATGAGGAGTGCGGAGATGAGAGTGTGGAGGCACGGATAGAGGCTGGATGAGAGATTCATGGGGTCAGATGCTGCTGGGAGGACAACCAAGATGAGGACTGTGTCTGTTGGATTGAATGACACAGGGGTCATGTTGACCTTGGTAGGAGCTGTTTCTGAGTCGTGTTGGGACTGGAAGCAGGTTTGGAAAGGGTTGAGGAGTGAGTGGGAGGTGAGGAAGTAGCAACAGTGAGTAGAGACAACTCTATCAGGAAGTTTGCGTGTATGAGGGAGGAAAGAGCAGTGAGTGGCTCTGGAGGAACGTCAGGTCAAGTTGGGAGATAGTGGATCCTATTGAGAAGGAGAGGTTGATTATATAGAGGAGAAAATAGATAAACAGTGGTATAAAATTCCTGGAAAGGTATCATAGGAAGAATCCAAATGATAGGTGAAGCAGTTGGTTTTGGGAAGGAAAGAAAGGGATAGGTGCTGAAGTTTGGTTAGGTTTTTATGTTTGAGGATGTTCCCCAGTTGGATGGCTTCCCTTTCCTCTGTGAATTAGGAGGGGAGATCATCCTCTGAGAGGGGTGGCCCACAGAGAGTTATGTCCTAGTCTCAGGCAGTCCTTCGCTGATGTCTTGGCTATAGCAAGCCCCAGGTTCCTGTAATGCCCTCCTCTTCCTCCTTCGTGATATTCAGTCAACAAATAGGGAATGCTATGGGTGCCAGGCACTGTTCTAGATGTTGCCATTACACTGCGTTGTAACAAGTTGTTCAATGACTGTTTCCCCCTAAACTGAGAACTCCTCCAGAGGAAGAACTATTTCTTTTTTATTCATCACTCTCCCTTGTGTCTAGCACAGTGCCTGGCATATGGTAAGCTGTCAGATTGAACAACTTCTGATTTGGAGCAAGACTTAACCCCAGTCCCTGTGGTCTGATACCAGGATCTTCAGGCTTAGTGGCTACTTCTTTCAGTTCCTGCCCTGAGGCCCCTGCCCAGCTCCCTGCCTTGAGCCAGAACCCATTTGGCTCTTTGCATCCTTTGGTAATTCCAATGAGAGCGGAGAGATTAGGTTATGTTCCTTCTCTAAAAAAATTGGACTGAGGTCATCTTTTTGACCTCGAGCAGTGGGGTGTTGGTGACCACACCACCTCAGGCTAGATGCTAAAGCTTCAGCACTTAAACAGTTTCCCCGTTCCTCCTCTAATACTTCCTGGCCTGGTGACCAGATTGGCAGGGCTGCCCTGAAGTCAACTTGGCTCTTCACTGTTTCAGCCTTACAGCGCACGCACCCTTTTCAGATCATAACTCCTAATGCCAAGGAGGTCAGTCTCTGCCTGACCTTTGAGAAACTTGGCTCTGTACACCACTGCTTCAGAGAAGAGTTTGCCATCCTTAAGGTCCTCCAAGCATGGCAGAGTCATGGAGTCTTCTACTTCCTGAAACCCATGGAGATGCCACTCTTGAACAGTGTCTGAGCCAAGATGTTGGTTTAAGCTACCTGCCTCACTCCCTTTTCCTAGATCTCAGCCCTCACCTCTCCGGGATTCCTGTCCCATCTTACTTCCCTCTCAGGGACCCTTTGGCATTATCTGACACCCTCCCAAACGCTCCCTTTGCTCCTCTCCAGCCCATTGGGCCCCACAGCCTTTCTAGGTATTTATTCCCAGCCAGTTCTGAGCTTCCTAGATCCTCTCAGCCCCTGTGTCTGTCCCATTCATCCTTTCATTCCTTCTGCGCGACAGCCCAGTCTGTGGCGGCACACAGCACACTCTCTTTGATAATGGGAATGTGAAATAGAATAAGACACCGTCTCAGATATTCTGATCGAATGTGGTCCTGGATGTTGTGAGACACGAAGGAGAGAATAGTCACTTGATGGTGGGGAGAGAACAGGAAAGACTGCTTAGGAGCTGTGACTGCTGAGGTTAGTTTTGAAATACAAGCAGAGGTTTTCACAAGGGGAGACAGAATTCCAGGCCGAGGGAGCAGTATAAACAAAGACCCAGGGCTTTAAGAGTGTGCAACATGTTCCAGAATCTGCCACACTGCCTGTGCCTGGAGTATAAGGTATAAAGGAGGTGGGAGGTGGGGAGAGGTCTGACAGGTTATAGAGGTTGGCTCAAGGGGGCTCCTGGGTGTTCTGCTAACGAGTGCAGACATTATCCGAAAGGCAGTGGTGAGCCCTCTAATTTTCTGAACCAGGGAGTGACACAATCTGGTTTCCATTTTTGGAAGATTACTGTGGTTCTGGGAGGAGGCAGAGCTGTCTATTTTTTTCTTCATTTATTCCAGTGGCCATGAGTTTTCTCATTGGCCAGGAGGAGTCACACTGAGCAGATCAACAGCTACACGTGAGGCAGACACATGCACATAAACCTTTTTCATTTTACAGATGTATGGGCAGCATCGCACTAGGGTCTGAGGAACTAGAGACATAGAAAGGTGAGCTATGGGGCTGGGCTTAGTGTCTCAAGCCTGTAATCCTAGCACTTTGGGAGACTGAGGCGGGTGGATCACCTGAGGTCAGGAGTTCAAGACTAGCCTGGCCAACATGGTGAAACCCTATCTCTACTATAAAAAAAAAAAAATACAGAAATTAGCTGGGCGTGGTGATGGGCACCTGTAATCCCAGCTACCCAGGAGGCTGAGGCAGGAGAATCACTTGAACCCAGGAGGCAGAGGTTGCAGTGAGCCAAGACCATGCCATTGCACTCCAGCCTGGGCGCACTGCGCCTGGAGAGATGGGCAAGCCTTGCTCAGGCAGCTGCAACACCTCTGCTCAGTGCTGAGGACACAGAGGGAAGGGAGGTAGTGGGGAGTCGGGGAAAGAAAGAACTCCTTAGTGGAGAAACAGGGAGATAGGGAACTCTCAGATAAGACATCAAGGAGAAAGGTCTGTACAGTGGGAATTAGAAAGAGCGCAGTGCAGTGTTTGTTGGGACAGTCAGTGAGGGAGAATTGTGTGTTGGTGGAAGGGTCGGGTAGGAAGAGAGAATCAGTGAGGCCATCGAGGGAGGAGAGAGTAATGTGGTAGGGGCTGTCTGAAGGACGGCTTGCATGGAGGGCTCAGGATGAGAGAGAAGTGGGCAGTGGTTGGTCAGGGAGAAATAACTGAAATCGGGGGCTGGTGAGGTTCCAGGGTGAGAGTACTTTCTTGTGGGGGTCCGGGAAGGAGAGCAGCAGAGCAGCTGGAAGGTCAGGGAGAGTGGGGAGGATGGAATGGGGCCAAGGGTGGGTCCCTGGGCGGCGGGCTGGAAGGATAGTTGGAACTCAAACGATTGCGAGAAGCTGAGCCACAAAGGGCTGTGAGGAGGCAGAGGGAGGTGTCGGGAGGGGAGCTGGCCTTGTAGAACAGGGCGTCCACTTCCCTGAAAGGCAGGTGGAGTTTGTGTGGGGCACCATGAGGCTCAGTAACATAACCAAAGTGTTTTCTGACACTGGCAGAGGAGAGGCCAAAGCGAAGCCTGGGGGAAATGGGGACTGATTCATACATTCATTCAACAAATATTAATAGAGGTCCTGCTCTGTGCCAAGACTACACTAGGCACTAGGCATACTGTATTTAACCAAAAAGGCAAAATCCTCACCAACACGGAGATTATAAATTGTAGTCTTGAGGAGACAATCATTAGACAAAGTAAATAACAAATTGGCTTGTCAGATGGTGACAGGCGCTGGGGAAGAGTTAGGGATTGCTGAGGAGGGACTGAGGTAGCCTGTGGTTTTAAAATGAGTGTTCAGGGAAGGCTTCACTGAGGCTGTGACATTTGGTCAAAGATCTGAAAGCCTGGGCCGGGCGCAGTGGCGCACGCCTGTAATCCCAGCACTTTGGGAGGCCGAGGCGGGCGGATCACGAGGTCAGAGTTTGAGATCAGCCTGACCAACATGGTGAAACCCCATCTCTACTGAAAATACAAAAATTAGCTGGGCGTGGTGGTCGGCACCTGTAATCACAGCTACTCAGGAGGCTGAGGCAGGAGAATCACTTGAACCTGGGAGGCAGAGGTTGCAGTGAGCTGAGATCCTGCCATTGCACTCCAGCCTGGGCGACAAAAGCAAGACTCCATCTCAAAAACAAAAACAAACAAACAAACAAACAAAAACCCCAAAAAGCAAAGATCTGAAAGGCTGAAGGGCCCAGGGGAAAGGCTCCCATAGTGATCCAGGACAGGGCATTATAAGGGCTGGCAGAGGGACCGGTGCCCAAGGGGAGCTACTTCATGGAAATTGTCACCAAGATGTAGCTTCATCTGGCCAGCGGAGCCGTGAATTGCAGCCAAGCACCCTCCCTCTGTGACCTGTCTTCCTGTGCCATGCCCTGTAGGGCTAGTTCTGCAGCTTATTTCCTCCTGTCCTCACAGTCGCTAGTATGGGGTGGGCTTGGGGCCTGGTTGAGCTGAGTGACTTATGGGAATAGGAACACAGCCGGAGGAGCTTACAGTGGTGGGGCTTGGGATGGAAGTGCAGCAGGAGAGGGGCAGTCAGTGATCAGTGTCCAAAACACACGAGCCAGTCCCACTCTAGTGGTGTTCCTGGCACAGTAAGCCCCGGGTGGATGAGCTAGGGGGTGGGGAGGCACAGAGAGCCATTGTGTGGAGGCCCTGCTGGTGGGATCGAGGGCGGAGCAGGCACCAGCTGTGCCATCCCAGAAAGCTCAGGGCAGGGGATATAGGGATGGGTTGAGCCTCAGACCTGGGCCTGGCCTGTGATGGGGACGATAGTGCTGGGACAGAAGATGAGCCCAGTCATTCTCATAGGATAGAGAGCCATGGGTGCTAGCCTGCTTAGTGCAGGGAGATGAGGAGGCACAGGGCGTAGCCCTGGGGCAGAAGCAGTGATGCTGCTGTTCTGGACCAGAGGCTCAACAGCATCTCCCTTCCCCACCCCACAGGAGCTGCCAAGGCCATGTCTGTTCCATCATCACTGAGCCAGTCGGCCATTAATGCCAACAGCCACGGAGGCCCCACACTGAGCCTACCCCTGCCTCTGCACGCTGCCCATAACCAGCTACTCAACGCCAAGCTGCAGGCCACAGCTGTGGGACCCAAGGACCTGCGTAGCGCCATGGGGGAGGGTGGTGGGCCTGAACCAGGCCCTGCCAATGCCAAGTGGCTAAAAGAGGGCCAGAACCAACTCCGGCGGGCCGCCACGGCCCACCGTGACCAGAACCGCAATGTGACCTTGACCTTGGCAGAGGAGGCCAGCCAGGAGCCTGAGATGGCACCCTTGGGCCCCAAAGGCCTGATACACCTGTACTCTGAGCTGGAGCTCTCAGCCCACAACGCGGCCAACCGAGGCCTACGAGGACCTGGCCTGATCATCAGCACTCAAGAGCAGGGGCCAGATGAGGGAGAGGAGAAGGCGGCAGGGGAGGCTGAGGAGGAGGAGGAGGATGATGATGAAGAGGAGGAGGAGGACTTATCTTCTCCCCCTGGGCTGCCTGAGCCCCTGGAGAGTGTGGAGGCCCCTCCCAGGCCCCAAGCCCTTACAGATGGCCCCCGGGAACACAGCAAGAGTGCCAGCCTGCTGTTTGGCATGCGGAACAGTGCAGCCAGTGACGAGGACTCAAGCTGGGCTACCTTATCCCAGGGCAGCCCCTCCTATGGCTCCCCAGAGGACACAGGTACCTTGTGGAGCTTGACATGGGCATGTGGGAGGGTGTGAGGGCAGAGGTTAGGCCTCTCATATAGAGGCCAGTGCCAGCCTGATGTGAGCTGAAAGCCCATGTCCTGAGGCCACAGCAGGCCATGTCCAGGCTTTCTCGTTCAGAGAGTGCTTGGACATTCTGGTAGATCTGACCATCATGCATGCCTGGATGGATGGATCTGTTCATTATGCATGCCACCGTGGTTGATAAGTGGACTAGTTTGTTTACTGGGCACTGACTAGGTAACTGGCCCTCTACTCAGCATTTTCAGGCTTTATCCTCACAGTAAAGCTGTGAGGTAAATACTATGATTATCCCCATATTACAGATAACAAAAAAGAGACCCAGAGAGGTTTAGTAGCTTTCTCAAGACCACAGACAGGCTGAGATTACAATAGAGCTGAGATCTAGACCAGGTCTGAGTCCAGGTCTGAGCCCTTGGCCCTGTGTTACACTGCCACCACAGCACAGAGCACAGTGCACTTAGGTGCACTTGGGACAGTCTGCCCCGTTTTAACAGGTCACGTCTGTGGGGAGCTGCTGTCAGGAGTAGGATATTGACTAAAAGTTAGAAAAGAAAACCCTTTGGGTAGGGGGAGGAGAGTAGATACTAGGATTCCAGGGCTTAATAATTAAATATGTCCCATTTAAATCAGCTGAGTCTCCACATTTTCTAATGTCATGTAGAGAATACAGGAAAAGCTGAGGAACAAAGGATGGAGATAATGGGCTATAGTCACAACCCTGGAGTTCTGTAGATGGGGGTCTAAGAAAGATTAGGAAAGATCCCCATCCTCACCAGGCAGCGAACACCATACCCATACCCCAAACTGTGCAATCTTTGTAGAGAACATGCAGTTCAAATGAGCCTAGGGCTGCACACCATCCCCGTTCGAAAAACTCATTCTGGACATTTTCAAACATATACAAAAGTAGAGAGAAAAGAATAATGAGCCTGATTTACCCATGACCCAGTTTTACCAATTATCAATACATAACTAATCTTGCTACCTACATGCTGTCTTCCATTCCTAGGCCCAGCGTAGGTTATTCTGAAGCAAATACTTTTATTTATAAATGTTTACAGCTGGGTGCAGTGGCTCACACCTGTAACCCAGCATATTGGAAGGCTAAAATGGTCAGATTGCTTAAGCCCAAGAGTTCAGGACCAGCCTGGGCAACATGGCAAAACCCCGCCTCTATAAAAAATACAAAGAAGTTAGCTGGGAGTGGTGGCATCAGCAGCTGTGGTCTCAGCTCCTCAGGTGACTGACCTGAGAGGATCACCCGAGCCCGAGAAAGTCGAGGCTACAGTGAGCCATGGTTGTGCCCCTGCACTCCAGCCTGGATGGCAGAGACCCTTTTTCAACAACAACAGCAACAAAGTTTACTTTTGCATTTCTGAAAGATAAAACTCTTAAGAAAAACCCACCATAATATCAATGTACCCACAGAAATTTAATAATAATCTCTTAGTATCATTAAATATCCAGTTGATATTTATGTTTTTAAAAAGGCTGGATTGAGGCTGGGCACAGTGGCTCACACCTGTAATCCCAGCACTTTGGAAGGCTCAGGTGGGCGGATTGCTTGAGCCCAGGAGTTCACAACCAGCCTGGCCAACATGGTGAAACCCCATCTCTACTAAAAATACAAAATTAGCTGGACATGGTGGCAGGCGCCTGTAATCCCAGCTACTCGGGAGGCTGAGGCAGGAGAGTCACTTGAACATGGGAGGCGGAGGTCATGGTGAGCCGAGATTGAGCCATTACACTCCAGCCTGGGCAATAAGAGTGACACTCCATCTCAAAAAAAAAAAAAAAAAAAAAGTCAGGATCACAGTTAATACTGTTGAGTTTGTCCCTTGCCTAAAGCTCAGTGCTGTTGTTGAAGATACTGGAACATGCAGCCCCACTTGTGGGGCTGGCAGAGGCAAAAGCAGCAGGAATCTTACAGTGAAGCACATAAGCTGCCAAAAATCTCAATTCTGGGGGATTTGATTGGGTCTTAAATTTTCAATTAACTCTGGTCACCGAGGGATGAACCTGCCCTTTGATGGGTTTCATCACAGACGGAGGCCCATAAAGCATCACAATTTCTGCAAAACGGTACCCCATTATGCCTTTTATGTGAGCGTTTTGCCAGCCTCTCTGTGCCAGGCCACTCTAACACCACTTGAAAGCTACCTGTGTCAGCTCTGTGAAAATCGACTGTGTTTTATGCACATTTGGTGCCAGGGACAGTTGGCATGGAAAGCAATCTGTGTAATGAGGCCAGTGCCCAGGGCTTGGGCCTTCCTTGAACGG